CACTATCGTCAGCACGCGGAAAAATCCAACGAGTCAACGGACTAAATTGTGCAATTTCAACTTTAATATTACCATCCAACAATGCGCATTTTGAAACATATCCTTTCAACTCTGTGCAAAAAATTCTCTCTCATTTTCCGAAAATATCCGCAAAAGTGTTCAGAATTCATCAGATATCTCGGAATGTGCTAATGAACTCGCAATTTTCAACGAAAATACTGTACTAAATGCCAACTTCAGTGCCGTGTAAATATATCTCGCACTCGCGCAATCCTCACCACCCGTTGAACGTGTACCAAACTGTCCAATTGGTAGCAATAAGTTCAGATTATTTGCGCCCACAAAATCTTGTGCCAATCGCACGATTGTATTGACCAAAGACTGCTGAAATCTGATTCTCATTCAAATATAATAATAATAGTAATAATAATGATAATAATATTATTATTAATAATAGTAACAATAATAATAATACCCAACAATAATTAAACAATTACCTCTCCATGATGATATGCACAATAGTGTGCAATAGCACCAGCCAGTTGCACCACTTTAATTTCACTCTTCTCAAAACGTTGCATTAAAGTGTGCAAGACTTTACGCTGACTTGGTTTCAGCCCATCAATTGCACTCGGAACAGAACGCTGAAATTCTTTTTTTTTGCAAATTTTTTGAAAATGTCCTCCTCACAAACAAAACTTTCCAGTGAACAATGCCACTCACTCGGATGTCCAACTTTGAAAATTCGATCAAATCCTCATTGATGAACTGCGAATAAGTTCGTCGATTTGCTAATCCATTCACGCCGACGGATGCTTCCGCCTCAAAATGAACAGATGAACAGAAATGCAAAACTAAAAATGTAATAACGATAAGAAACTGGAAAATAGTAAGAAAAATAGATGATATTCAATCATACATTCGAAGCTTTAGCAATTATCCACGCTTTTCTGTCATCCGCGCGATTTTTATCAAATGCCATTTCAATATTTTCATCATCCTCCTGACCACCGTACTCATATTCAATCCGATGCTTGCGCATCTCTGTGAAATATTCTCGTGCCTCTTCGGCACTAGACGTTCCCAAGCCTGAAATTAATTTCAAACTATCCGCCCTGCTCTTACTTTCAAAACCGGAAAGAAATAAGAAAGGGTTGATTACAAGATCACAAAAATTAAAAATATTGCGTTCGAAACAATGAAAACAGCCGAAAAGCCATAAGAAAGACCACATTCGATCAACAAAAAATATATCTTTCGTCAGGCACACTAATTAAGTGTACCTTTATAATATTTCACTGAATATTTTTTCGCATTCAAAGGATTTGCTTGTTTCCATCGTTCAAATTCTGCACTGCTAAAGAATGGTATCACTTCTGCGCCGCGGCGTGCCTGAAATTTTAGCAGTTCCATGTAAAAGTGATCAAATAAACGGAAAATGTCTATCTTAAAATAAAACTCACAAATGAATAAAAGCAAAACCTTCAATAATGGTGTCATAAAGTAATGAATGAAATCTGTGCGAATTAGAGACGGCCAAAATGAATGGAGAAAATTTATGATTAGGCCACGAATATGTGCACCATCTTCATCCTGAAATACCGCAAACATCAAGGAATTATTTCCTGAATTCACTGTTTATCTCACATTCGTTACTATGAAACCACTATTTTCTTCAATTTTCGAAAGCATTTTCAGAAACGCAACCTGATCCGTCATAATCATCAAATGCCCATAGCGTAATTCTTTCCGTTTCTCGTCACTGCTATAGTCTTCGCCAAATCGCAATCCCAATATACGAACCAATGCAGACACTTCGGCATTTTGTAACGACTAAAATTTTTCATCCAATCTCAGTCTACGTTGGAAGTTTCGAAAAATTAGCGAATCTCTTTCAAACTTTTCCAAAATTTAAGTGGACATCTAAAAAATTTTTCATCAATTCTTTGAAAATTCCTAAAATTTCCTACAAAAATTCGGCATTCTTCTGCAAAACATTGTGAAATTTTGGGAAATATTTAATGTTCACCATTTTTTCATTTAATCCTCGAACATTTGTCAGTTTTCCACGCAATGGGAACACTCCAAAGTTCTTTCGTCCCACTACGGCCAACCCTGCCACTGCTAAAGCTTTCGCTGAATCGCCCTCTGTCAAAATCAGTGTACACTCTGAGGATCGCACAGTTCCAGCATTGCCAGCATCTTCTAATTTAGGCAAATCGCTCAGTTCGCGACCTCCGACCGCAGCCGAGCGGTTCAGAGAACGCTGAAAATTGTGGCAATTCTCAGAAATTGGATATAGATTGGAAATTTTCATAAAACTCATCGAAAATTCCTTTGATAAAAAAGAATTTTCAAGAAAATTCATAAGCGTTTCCGAGAGGATTTATGAGCCAGAGACTCACCCTCTGACCCGCATCAGCTAACAGAATCTACTCAAAATATCACTACAGCCTCAGATAATCATCGTAAAGAATTGATAGTGAATATCTTAAATTCAGAATTGCCACAACAAATTTTAACAAAGCATGAGAAATATGTTTGTTCGTTTACCATTTCACGTTTATTCAAGTCGCCTATTACGCACTCAATAATATCCGTTCTGGTGAATAGTTCGCGGAAGAATGCTTCCGAAAGTTGACATTTCGATCCGAACGTCTTCGGCGCTGATGCCAAATATTCCTTTGTTTGTGAATCAAACGTAGGATTTTCGATGAATGAATTCAAAAACACACATAAACGATTTTTGATCTGAAATGAACAATAAAAGAAATCTTATGGTTAGTCGGCAAATGAGCGAAATTGCAGCAAAAAATAGATGAAAGAATGAAATCTTCATCGAGATAATCTCAACATCTTTTCACACTAACGAGTGATCGATCACCCAATGTTGTCAAACAATCCAATATGCAACCTGTAATGGTCGTACGGATTTTCTGCCATTCTCGAATCTCGTCTCTAATTCTTGTTTGATTCGAGCGATGAGTTGATCACAAACATAGTCCACATGTCTTCCACCCTAAAACACTCAACCAACTTCAATTTATACTGCTGAGCCCATTCATTCCACTGTTAATACTTCTTCTGCCTCACCATTGGGTGTATGCTTGAACTCCTAATTGGGTAAGCTTATGCCATTCGCCTCTCACAAAAGAACTTCAGCTGCTTATAAGGTTTCGGCGGAAACTGCCTTTGGCGATTGCTTGTTCTCTCACAGTTTGAAGAATATTCCGTGATTGAAGTTTCGAAAATTCTTCAGTATATTTCACTGAGTGAATCTACGACTAACCTTCACCGTTGCAATATTATTCACGAAACTGATCTGCTCAAAACCGCAATCGCTTCTTGCCACTGCAACTTGCCACCTATCATTCACCTCACTGAACACCACACGTTTCTCATTGTTTACAGGCATTTCCACATCACTTTCCTCATTTCCGGACGCCGTATACAGACGAATATAGTCACGAAAGCCATGAACCTGAAGCACTTACTTCAACATGCAAAATTCGTTGAAATCTAATATCGAATCCATCGGTGATGAAATAAAAATATCCGGTATACAGGTGAAAAAAACTGCTCGAATCCGTCAAAAACGAATGGATAATTCCAAAATCCAACATCGATTTTGTGTCCATTCAGGAACACCTCAACGCCTTTCAATGTGCCAGCCACATCCACCACACGTCGTTGCATCAATTGGATCGTTGCGTCGTTTAACGCTGACAGTGAAAATCGCTTCAAATCAGGCTCGAACGTTACTTTCGTAAAATCCGTTCCACCGTCTTCGACTATCGACTTTACTATTGCCGTATCACATTCACTCATATTGTTGCGCCATGTCTACAATCAAAAAACACATAAAATTGCTTGTTTGATGAAATGAAATGAAGGTTTTGAAGAAATCCTCGAAAAATTTCGAAAAACACCGAATTGATCACCGAATCCTTTATGAACTATTACTTTTTCCTATCCGCGTTGAAACTTTATCAGAGGTTAAATTTCAAAGCATCGAAAGCCCTACATAAGTGTAGAAAGCCCAAGCAATCATTCACATCTTCACCCACCTGTTCGAAGTGATTTCCCGTGGCTGCTGAGCGAGTTTCAACCGTAAATTTCTTACTGAATATATTACACAACTTCGCACCAAAACCATTGCGTCCACCTTGAAAATGATTCGTTTTTTATTTCAATCGAACAATTATTTATGCAATATTGAAATCACCAATGGAAATTTGATAGAATCATTCAACAATAGAAAAGGTCGCTAATAAAGAAAATTTAAGGAATTGTCTCCTATTAGTTTCACAATACACAAACAACGCTCGTCACCAACCAATAATTTTAATTTCAGAGTCGTCATAATTCGATGACGTTAGCAAGGTACCAAATATAAGCGATGGTATGTAAACACCCTCCTCTGAGTGTATCTCCACCGGAATACCTTCACCATCATTCCAAACCGACACTTCATTACGATCTCTACAAAACATTCGCTATCTTCTCATAACATTTCTGAGGGAATCAACCAATGTTTGAATGGGTTATTTGGATTTCATGTATCCATCCAGAAGACTGCAAACTCACTTATCGATATTCACTCGAATCGAGGTCATAGTCGGATCGCGTTGTTTATTATCGGCTGCATTTACTAGAACCTCATCAAATATCTTAATCAGTGCCGGAACATAGCTCAGTTCACGTTTGCACATTCTCTTCAATTCCGCATCATATAAATATATATTCTGAAATTTCACTTGCTTCCAGCATCCACTTATTTCTTCACATATCCAATGCAACCACACAATGAAACGCAAAGTATTCTCAAAATATCACACGCAAATTGCAAGAAAATTTCAATCAACGAATACGAAATTCATATCTTTCAAGTGATTCAGAAAAATTTCCGCACAAGTTATTTGTTTTCATGGAAAACTATATAGGATCCAAGATATTGTTGATACAGGATTCAAGATTCAATGAACGCACACACACATTAAGCGATCACACACAAACCTGAGTTTCTGAGGGCAGTGTGGAACCCACGTAAGTGTCAGGTCTTAGCAGAACATGTTTTAGTGGTGAAATTCGTTGGTATTTCTCTTTTTTGACGTTCGTTGCCGTTGACGTTGACGTGCGATTCGATTGCAACACTTAAATTTGAGTTGCAGTTTCTATTTATCGCTGTCATGAAATGAAACTTTCAAAATGCCATTCAAAAGATGCATGGATGGATGATGGCCTTATTGATGCGATCTACTTCTCCGAGCATTCTTTGGAAGAAGAGTCGATAATATCACAGATTGAACACCTCATCAGTTCAGTATAAGACATGGATATCCATTCACATCCCCGATTATAAAAAATCCTTCAACTCTCGCAATTGTTGCGATGTATAAAATCAATTGTTTAGGCTCACAACAATGCTTGAATGTATCGGTTTTAATCAAGTAAAATAGTAACGATGCTATCGACATTTCCTTTTGCTGATCAATTGTAAGACCAAAAATCGCCTGTCATTCACTTCTTAGTCTTTTTCCTCCCAACTAAACGAGGTAAGAAAACCACCCTTAATCGCAGATATAACATTTCCATTCTCAATAACGAAAAAAAGCCAATAAAAAATGGAACAAAAACTTCATCAAATTTGATGTTGTGAAACGGTAAACTTGAGTCTTTCCGCTAAAATGAAAGCAACTCTAATGATGAGTTGAAAATCAATTTCTGAAGAGAAATCATACCAACTGGTCGAAACTGCTTATGTTTTCCAGTGAAAACACTAGTGGAAAACCCGGAATTTGCCTTCCGGGAATTACCGGACATTCCACCCGAAAACAGGAACCTCCGACTGACTGTATTCTGACCATAACTATTACCATACTTGACACCACATAATGCTAAGCCCTTTATTGAACGCAAATTCCTTCGGAAGCCATTTGCGCGACTGTTGAATGTCGCTGCTCTTGATAACATCAACAGACAACTTCGTCAATCTGAATTCATCAAACACTTTCAGTGTTCGCCTTTACCGTTAAAAGCTTATCAATCTGTGACTGATAAGATTATATATCGGTCGATCACCACCTAGACTTAAGTCGCCCTTCACCTGGTCATCTATGCTCACACCCGTCATTCGCGTATATCTCCCCGACCTAAAACTATCGCCCAACACTTCATCTATTCGAACTTTTTCACTGGTCATAATGCCATAGCAAAAAAAGCTACACCTCCTGGCTCAATACAGTTCACAGAAAAGAATGCAAACAAAATCTTCAGGCCACTGTGTGAGTGCATAATAAAACCAAACTTTAATTTCATGTATAACGCAATGGAAGAAACGCAATTCCAGACTGCATATTACCCTAACACTATCTACCCTAAATGCAG